CCGGAGCAAAGAAATCAGTCAAAAATCTTTTCACTTCATTAACAAAAAGATGAATTTTGTGTACAGTCACTTTAACTGCGAAACCATGGGTTGTGGTTTGAACAATACACAAAATACATAGTTGTGTAACCAATATCAATATAAGCCTTTAAGCAGCCTTGAGGCCATTGAACTGTTGTGTCAATGCCAATGGTGCCGCTTATGTGGAGCTGCCAACTTGACCTCTGACCTAGGTCACAGGCGTCGATGGAGAATGTTGGCCAAAGATCATCAACAGGTTTGTGGAAAACAATTTTACACTGTTCACTGCGTCTGATCTGGCCGCTTCGGATGAAACACAGACCACAAGTCGTGAGATGTGGAATAAAGCATATCACAGGAAGGAAACAGAGACACAGTTCAGGACTATTCAGAACGTCGTGTTGTTCGAACAAATTTGTCTTGCGGTCGGTCTCTGTTGCTAACCTATAGCGGCTGGAATGCAGGGGGTGGTGTATGAATATTGTACGCCGCTATCTCTCACCGGTCCCACGCATATCCCTCAAAGCATTCTTGTTGACGCTGACAGAAATCCCGGGCCTACCATCTCAATCCCCGCACTATATTACATCTTTTGAAGTTCAGGACATGGACTACATTCCCCTGATTCTTCTCCGTCTTCCCACTCGATCCTCAAATGCTTCTTGATATCTCTTTGCTTTGATGTCTGGTACGGAACAAAGAGCTGGCAATCGTGGTAAAGACAGGTCTTTTTTGTTGTCTGTGATACTCTCAACAACTTAAATCCGGCAAAATGAAAAATGTCCACAAGCCTAGCAACCTAAAACACCTGTCAGTGTCTAGTAATCCATATTGTAAACAGGTCCTGAACCCTTTTTTGAACAGTTCTTAATGTCCTGTTCTGCTCCTGATGCGACATCTTTCAAACAGTCGGCAAGGCAGTGGTCAGTTCTTTGTCATTGGTTAACGCACGGGTTTTCAATGTTATGGATAATTGGAAGTTAATGTAATATCTTCTTCGGTATTTACCAACTCGCATCACGGTTAATTGAATTACATGCCATGCCCACATTTTTTGTCAAGACTGCTTAGATGATCGGTACAGATTAAAGATGTGATGGCAGAAACTCTGAGAGAAGTTCCGGGCAACACCTTACTTTGGGATTCCTCAAAGCATTCCTTAAAGTGGCATCCCAAAAAGCCTACCCTAAAGCTTGCACCTTCCTGGTGAGGTCTGTGGGATTAGGTTTCTTTGCATAGCGGAGCGGTTTGAGACAGCCCGGCTCGGCGTAACCGTTTCCTTCAGCCGGGCATGACAGAACGGTGGGTGGGGCAGGTAAGGGGGATCTCTACCTCACAATGTTTCACCTGGCCAAAACATGTCCTTAGAACACACTCGGAATGCTGTAGGAAACGTCAAAGGTACAATCCATTATAAGTTTCACCTGGTCAAAACATGCCCTAAGAATGCAGTCGGAATGTCGTAAAAATGTCTAAGGTCTGAACGATCATAAGGTTCACCTGGCAAAAACATGTCCTCAGGACGCACTCGAAATGCTATAGAAAATGTCGAAGGTCTAAACCATGGATACGAACGATCATAAGAGTCACCTGTCCAAAACATGCCATAAGAAAGCATTCGGAATGTCATAACTTATATAAAAACGTCTAAGGTCCGAACGATCATAAGATTCACCTGGCCAAAACATCTCTTAAGGACGCACGAATGTTGTAGAAAATGTCTACTTAAGATCCAAACCATTGATATGAACCATCATAAGAGTCACCTGGCCAAAACATCTCTTAAGAACGCACGAATGTTGTAGAAAATGTCTACTTAAGATCCAAACCATTGATATGAACCATCATAAGAGTCACCTGGCCAAAACATACCCTAAGAATGCACTCGGCATGTTGTAGGAAACGTCTACTTAAAGATCCGAACCATTGATATGAACCACCGTAAGATTCTAAACGACATTGTCCAGGTTTTAACCCAAACCTGTAATAGTTAAGGAAGGTAATATTGACAAAGTCGTCGAATTTTCAAGAGCAACTTTAGACTCAGCGCTTATATTTTTTACACAGAGGAAAATCTTTTTCATGTTGCAAACTGAATTTCTTTGGGTAGAAAAACAGAACAAATGATTTTGGTAATCATGGTATATAGGAACATTAGAAAAGAGTGTATATCAATTTTGTACAGTTCTTGTACAAGTTGGTATTACTCCATTACAATAACAATAGACATTGGGTTATCAAACCAAATTATTGCGCACTAGAGTCTATATTGTCACATTTTTGATGGATAATGCCATTGATGAGTAAAATCATATGAAAGATGATTTGAAACTTGCCTCAGTTGAGCATAAACAGGAACGGTTTACATTAGGTTGATACAGATATCATCGACCTAACCTCACTACACTAAAAAGTCACGAATACAGTTACTTCTTTTGAGCTCATTGAAGAGGATAGTCAGCATTAGTCACTATCCGTTTTGCACGTAAAGGCGGACATAAAAGGCAGTTTTGCCTAATCACGTCTGTTTGTTTGTGTTTACCAAGTGATTTGCAGACCCGTGAATCTTTTATCCACGATTAAAAGACTAGGTAATGTAAGCTCTGGAACCTCTCTCATTCATAGGTATGAAGAGACTTATGTAAGAGTGTGGACAACAACGTCGCACAAACATGTACACAGCAGCGGGCTCAAGACAATGTACTACCCAGGGGGCGTATGTTTGGATGCCTCATCTTAAGAGCCTCTTGCAAAACATGTAACTTAAGACGCGGAATGGTCCGTGAACACCTTTCCAGCCAGGTAACCCAAATCTCCGCGTTCCAAGCAAACCTTGCCCGGTATGTCAGTCCGCTGGAGGTCGGTTTCCCAGGTGTTCCCATCCCCACCTGCCTGACGCGATGTGGCGACTGCTACCCAAAAGGTGCTTCTGGGAGTGTTCCAAAAAGTTACAGTGTTCGTCCATATTCGACGTGCAAAGTGGCAATGAAAGGCAGAGAAAGGCTTTCTAAGAAAAGGTTTTACACTCTGCAACACCAGAAATGATTCGGGAAGACATTCTTATGGATAGCCCAAACAATTGTCAACCTTGTCGACTGCTCAAAACTTTGTGCTATCTTTTGAACTATTGTTAGGCACAGACAAGTACCTCTCCATCAAAAATTCTTCAGGTCTTCTCTGTCTATTTACCTTCCATTTAGAGGGCCCCTGTCTCCCTAAGCGACTTTCAAGAAAAGACTGCCCACTGTTTTCTCTAAATCGACGAAGCAGCAAGTGGTGACAACAACACAACAGGGTGAAGTTGAAGTTGACCTGACCTCCCACAGGACAATTCCTCACGTCAGACATAACTGTCAATCATTCAAACAGCCTCTTAGAGCTGTCAAGACAAGACTAATGGGTCTGGATATCCTGCAGGTCAAAGCTACGGTCAGAGCATTCATGTTTTCTTACGGTGTTAGGAAAGGTAAACACTGTACGGGAAATAACCATCAATCAAACCATAATAGAAGGAATGCGTGGAAGAAAGCCCTCTCAGCAAGCTGTTTGTCTAACAACAAAAAACCACATCCTTAGACAACTTGTCAGTTTTCATACGACTTATGTGTTTCTTGTCCTTTCATGAAATGTTCTATTGTATGTATAATGTATATTTTCTTAATAATAAGAGTTATAGTCACTGTATATACTTCATAGCCAGTGATATCAAAGGCGAATACCATTACACAGATGCAAACATGGAGTTAAAAGCGGGAAAACTGTTAGTGAAGTTAGAGTGAACTCTGCAGCACAGACAAGCAGTGCTGGCGACAGGCCAACAGTTAATTGGACGACGGCTACTCAAAACATCGTCGTCTACACTAGAAAAGAATACCCCTTTCACGGCCATGATGTCAAGTGAACGACGTACTGTTTTCAATGGTGTCGAAAGAGCAAAGAGTGACAGTCTACCGGGCCCTACATGTTGCTTTAAAGTCTGGCGTTTTCTCTGGTTAGACAAACGGCACCCCTTTTGTTTAATTGTCGTCAACGTGATGTTCAAAAAAGGAAGATAATTGTAAGGGACGAAACGCTTCGTAGTTTTAGTTCAAATGCATGGATACATGGCTTTGACGTTGCTTTCGGCTTTAGCGTACAGAATGTCACACGTGTGGCCATCATCGTGTCAAAGTATCTGTAATAAATGGTTGGTAGAAGATCTCTAGTGTATACATGTAGATGTTGACTTTATACGATGTTTTCACGAACTGATGACATTAAAACTTTTTTTGGGGAGGTGGGGGAACGTAGGAAGCAGAGCCAAAAGCTAGCTGAGTAGAGTCATTTGCCCATAGCAGTATTAAAGGCCCCGTTTCTACTAGACAGCCATCGCTGAGCGACCAAAATTCAATTCGTCTGATTCTTGATTATATAATGTTTCAACAGACAACAAAACACATGAAACATTTTGAAAATTCGTCTATGGAATTCGCTAAGCGATCTGTGAAATACTTGATCGCTCATCGGTGCCTGCGTCTAGTGGAAAGGGGGTGTAAGTAAAAAAAAGTGTGCAGGAAGGTAAAGAACATCAAGCCTCTGAGCAAGATGCAGTGCAACAGAACGAAACAAGAATATGCTACGATACAAGTACGTAAAAAGGTAAAGGTAGTTCCTTAGCCACCCGAAGCCTTGCACCCATTTTACTCTTGAGTGGAGTGAAAGCCATGTAAAGTGCCTTTCCCAAGGACACAACGTCTATTGAGGCATGCCAGGGATCGAACCCACGACCTCTCGATTTCGTGTTCAACTAGCCTAGCCACTTGGTTATTCGACGCCACTGTAAAGTACTACTATCTAAATGGACGCGACATAGTTAGATGCCCACTGGTCTAGAGGTACTGCGGAGGAACACGTGCGTTAGTACACCGAGGGAGTCAGCAAGGAAGACTGTGGTCTGGTCATCCCTGCTGCCTTCCTCACGTTACACCACATCAACTCACCTGCCTTTACAGAACAGTGTATGTGCGACTTAGACTCGTAGTACACCCAGTCGAACCCCGCCTCCACCGCTAACCTGGCCAGCATGCCGTATTTCGTTTTGTCCCTGTCGCTGGTCGTGATGTCCACCGCCCTGCCCTCGTAGTGTAGCGACTCGCCGTCGTGAAAACCGTCCTCGTCCCATCCTTCCGTCACTCTTAGTTTTACCCCCTCCCACTGATTCATTACGGAAATGGCCAGCGCGTTTAGCTTGTCCTTACATCTCTGCAAAAAGAAAAAAAATAACCTTTGTTAGAGTCATGCGGATCGTAGTTTATGAGATTCAGAAGCATCAAACACAGAATAAGGTAAAATGTCTTGATACATACAATCATCATCATCATCATTATCATCATCTTCATAGAGGGGGACCGTTTTGGACGTTCGTCCTCCAATACATTTCGTCATTGATTTAAACTATAAAGAACATAAAATATGGAATATAAATCTTACATTATAGAAATTGATAACAACATCAATTTAACGGTTTTTTCTAGTTTTTTCGAAACAATACGCAGATGAAACCCGAAAAGTATAATTTGTTTTGCCTCTAGGGTACGTCTTGTTTTGACATTGATATATTACACAAAAATCAGGCTATGACCCACGTGTCAAGGTTATCGTATTCTAACAATGATATATGTTACAACTACCACACTATGACACAATAGACATGACTGATATCGTGCCTAAAAGACATCATAGTCTGTCTTTGACTTGACGTTCGTGAAATGCACGAACAAGAACGTTGTAATTGGGTGATTTAGTTTTTATGGGTAGTTCTCGCCTCTACTTATGAGTAATAATATTATTCCAGGACAATATATGTGGGTGTAATTTAGTTTCAAGTAGATAGTATACTCGTGTTTTGGCAGTGATAGGGTATTATGAACGTCATGTTGGAACAAGGCTGACTAGGGTAATTCTATTTCAGGGAGATAATTTAGTCCCGTCTTGTTGTTGATAGATGATGGTAAGAAGAGCTAATACAATAGACGTGCTTTAGATTTACACGTGGGAGTCAGGGTAACGGGGTCAGAGCCAGATAATGGTTTGATATGTTCTTCCTATGGGGGAAATAAAGGAGCTAATGTACCGGTATCGTATCCAGAACCGCGCCTATCGACCTCTATGCCTGAATGGGTTCTGGAAATACGCGTGGACACGGTTCTGGATAAAGCACGGTCCTGAATACACAACATCGTATTCGATAGAAGAGTTAAAATTTAAGGTTATATCTTGATATACTTAACGCTATTGGGGCATATACGGGACAAACCGTACATAAAACTTGTGATCTTTAATAATGCTGACTGAAGGGTATACTGACAGCGTTTGTATTAGAATGGCAGTCATCGTTATTTTTCCACGGCCAATAGACCACAGTATGGACCTGTTTTAAAAATGATTGGGACCATCATCAGAATCTGGCTAACTGCACCATGTGTATTCGTCGCTATAACAACATGTTTACATGTGTATTCATGTTAGTGCATCACTTAGTGTAAACAGTTTGGAAGATTGAGAATGACTTAAACATAGGGAAACCTTAGATATAGGTTTTAAATCAAAGTCATGCCACTTTTTGTTAGCTACGATTGCCATAGTGCTTGTTGTCATGCGGCTATCCCCAAGCCTACGATAATGAGATAATATGGAAATAACAGACAAGTCACTAGCACTCCTCTTGCTCTGCCTGACAAAAGGCGGCTCAAGAGCCACTCATTCATTAAATGTCACTCACTGTAGATAAGGATCAGTGTGTGTGTGTAGAAGGTGTTTTCTTTCCCGTTCATATCGCTATTCCACACCCCGGTGATCGGCTATCGCGGAATCCCTCCATGGGAAAATGCGCGGAAATTCCGATGTACACAAGGTGAGAATCTAGCGAAGCCGGCGCGTTAACGCGAGGTCGTAGGGCCGTCGTGCCATGTCGTTGGAAGAATTCCTAAAGTAGGCTGTGACAGAGCCAACTGCAAGACAAGGGTCTAAGACTTTTTTCGGAACACTACAGCGGAATTGTGAACAACATATGTACGCCTGTCCTACGAATGCTCTCAATTTGGAATCGTAAAACAATCGTGCGACTGGTACCAAACCATCCTAAAACCATCTCCTTCAGGAGCCCGTGTTGTGATAATAAGGCCCATTGTATCTCGGATGGCGTAATTAGAACAAAATCCGCGAGGAAATCCTCGGGGGAGAGATTTTCCACTCTACTTCCCTGTCAAGAGCGGCTGTTTAACCAGCAACATCAGGCCGCATGTCGCTGTTTTTAAAACGTCGCGTTCCCCAACAGCAGAAGCGAGGACATCCACAGCCCCGAGCACGGGATCCCGTTACCCCACCCGAGCATTCCTTATCTTCCCTTAAGAAGGACAATGTAGCATGAAGGTATGGAACGATTCAGGGGGACGACATTGCAGGCAACGTTGAACTACCAAAGCTGGGTAAAGCCTAACAATACATCTCGCGGCTTGTCTCCGTGTGTGGCCCCGCCTTACCCCAGATCTACCTGCGGCGAGCTGTACACAAATGTTTGGTGTAAGAAAACTTGTTCCTCCCCGTTAGAACAACACTTCATATTTTGCCGGCGTGTTCCCCGCAGCTCGGGTTACCCAGTTCGGGGTTTCCTTACTAATCGAGACGGAGGTGTTCAGAGCTGCAGGGTTTGTGTTTTTAGCAGCAGATATCACTGTTAGGTGGGACACTTAGCACTGGATTTGTTCGGTATCCAAACATATTTTTCTATTGTTCCTCGTTGTGTTTTTCTAAGTTGTACCAAAACAATAAATGACAAAATGTCAATGGTTGGTGGTGAAAACAATTACACATTGCACACAACCAGAATCAAAAATTCATTGAGAATATAGTACTTATTTAACAAATGTAGTTTTTGTTAACTTATTTTGCATACTTTTTTGCATTTCAAGCAAACAGTACCATAAAATATTATCGCTTGTATTGTTTTGTTTATGTCCTTTTTCTTGCCAACGACACAGCATTGCCGTTGCTTTTTTTTACTATTGATTTATTATTATGATTCAAATAAAGTCTGATATCTACATCATCAGCTGTTGCCTGGTGAAGCCTATTTCCACACAAAGTGGTTGATTGGTCCCCATTGGCCTATATAAGACCTATTGTTCTCTCTTATATAATCAAAGGGCCCTCGATAAGCTCTTTTGTGGAGTGACCAACTGTTCATATCAACTATCGATACCTTTTATCATTACATATGAAAGGTATTGACTATTGGGTTGTAAACAGGAGGGAAATTTTAATTTTATTAACCAGTTTGATCAAAACATAATAAAGAAAGAAAGAAAGCTGACTATGCAATGTGTCATGGCATACTATTGGTACACTGGTAAGGATATTTCAGTACAACAAGGCTATACTTTAGACAAAGAACGATACCCAATAAAATCATCATCACTTCAAGAACAGGTAATTTTCTTTCTTAGAGTTAGGGGCATGTACTTAACAGTACACTCTGGCTTTGTTTGCCACAGTTTATCCTGTATGAGAAAGATTTAAAATGCGTCCATTTTAGAGATTTATACGTTTACAGCACCTGGCAAATTATTGGATTTAGATAAACGTTTACCACTGTTCTGTTAACAACAGAAAGAAAGCATATATAGAATATTACAAAGGCTGCTTCAAAAACATGCTTGGATATTTGATTATGCTTATTACTGTAGAGCTTAATCTATTATAATCTTAATATACGCATTCAATATTAGGGGCATATTTTATTGGACTAATTGAAGCAGACTACGTGTTCAAGAATCATTGGTCACTCAGGACGAACTATACTTTGAGTGAACAGTTTACCGATGTTTGCTGTTGACTGACAGTGTATAGTTACAAAAATGAAAAGTTTGGCTTCAATTTGAGTACTTGGTTTGGACCTGGGTTGGTAGATCGTACAGTTGCACACGTGCACCACGTTGAACTACATTTTGTTAACTTGAGTGCCAGATACTTGAACGATAAGGAATTCAACCCTTGGTGAACTCTTTCGAATCCGGTACACTCCAGATCAAACTAGAATCACTTTAAACCTTCTAACTAGGCACTTCTCCAGCCCATTACGAAGATCCTACCCTCTCTTGTTGACCGAAGGCTCAAACTATTACCTCCTACAATCCCTTTGATTTCGCCAATGGTCTTACCAGTGCCGCGGTGATCGTGGAGGTACAATCACTCATTGAGACCACTAGGAAGTCCCGGGGCACTCTTGTTATCTTATCTAGGCTGTTATTACCGTTTCATTAACCCAGTCAGTAAATACAACACGTTTCACTTCCTATGTTAAACCTGGAGAGATTTGTACCGGATGACTGATAAATGTTGTACTGTAGTGGGTAGAGATGTAATCAGTGGTGGATGTACTGAAGTTCAGGCCTGGGCAGCTGGGCTAATGTTACCGCAGGCTGAGCCAATGTTGTCTAACAGATTAGAGCTTCCCACCCCTAAAGCCTGAGGATTTTCCCCACTGATTTTACGGGAGGATCAGGCCGGCCCTTACGCACACACACCTCCTCCAGCTTCTGAACGGCCTCATTGTTTCAGCCATGATGACAGAGGCCGGAGACAAATCCAGATTACGGTGATGGGTGTTCGCCCACCCGGTAATGTTGTGGATTTGTTCCCGTCGGATGCCCCCGTGCGCACGAGGATTTAACAACAGCGGTGAAAATCTTCTAGCAAACTTTGAAAGTTGCAATCTAGGGACTATAATATAATATACACACTGCCCAGGCGTTTGGCAAGAGAGGGGTCGAAACATATCTAAGGTCAGGAAAAAAATCGCGGATGGTGCCATGGTCTTCTAGGGTAATCGTGCCACCAATTGTATGCTTTATCTCCTACATAATGAAGCCGTGTTTTGTATACATTGTCTTATCACGAAGAAAATCAGATGGATCAGAATGATAAACATGTCGTGACCTGGAAACCCATTGAAGTTGACACTAACGTTAGTGCAGCGCTCTTTAAACTCTACTTCGATCGATATGTGTTTTTATTAAGTCAAAGAATCATTAGAAAACTGTATATAATGGCCGTCTCCAGAACACAGTAAGACTTGACCATGAAACTACATATTTTGCTTTATTTATCCAATCCTCAAAGGAAAGAGACCTTGGGAATTTGGTTTGTGGACGTAATCTAAGACTTGCTGTTCAATTATGTTGTCAGTAGTAGGTTTGACAGCT